ACTGAAGGGACATGGATGTGCATCTGATTCCATACACTTGTCAAAGACTGCTGTGCAGTTGGGTCCGTACAGCCGATGCAGTTATCTATTCAGTTATGTACTTTCCAAGAGCACCTCCGTGCTAGTACAGTAAAACACTGCTTTCCATGCTGCCCGGGGCTGAGCGGTTGTGTGAAAGAGCCCGAAGGGGATCACTTGTATGTTTGAAACATTTGTTGATACACAGTTTAAATGTTTGATACATGTGTTTACTATTGTATAATTCTGCAAACGTTTAATTAAGACTCATTGAAACAGGAACATAACAAGTCTGAATAGAATTTGAAATATTTTAAGGGCAAGTCTACCTCTTAGAAAAAAAATAATAAATGCACCCATGTTAAATTTTTTTTATTTTTCATACGAGTGTGGAAAGCATTTCAGGCATGATCAGTGGATCGCGGATGCAGTGCTCTGGCTTATGCAAACATTCTGCAACCTCTGGCCTGTACGTCAGTTGACTACAAGTGCGGTGACCTTGCCACCCTCCATTGAGAACTACGAGTTCCTGTGAATGAGTGACCTGGCTGTGCAGCTAGAGACAGGCTGATTTCAAATGTGACCAGAGCCAGGAGAGAGAAGCACCCCCCTGCTTCTGTAAGTAGGGGTCACTGTTTGACAGTGGGGGGCTGCAGACTCTAATCATGCTTCATGTTAAAACCTAAATATGAGTGTAATGTGACTCATTCTCAAAAATATAAACTTAGCCTTTAAGGCATCAGTGACACTAAAGTATATTTATGTTTGCAAAAATAATCCATACACATCCATTACTTGGTACTCTTTTAGTTTGTTTTTCACTAAATCATTTCTTACTGTTTTTTTTTTGTTTTTTTTTTTGCCACCTTGTAACCTCCTTCATGAGCTCCCAAACCTTGCCTTTTCCTCTTCTTTCATGCGGAATGAGCAATGCACATTAGTTGCAGTCATGTTCACAGCTCTATGCACACTACCAATTCCATAGTTCATAGTGCATATCGGGAGTGAGCAAGAGAAGAATGGAAATGTTCCTGCATAAAGTGGGACAATGGTGAAGGAACATGGCTTCCCTGTAACAGTCTGAGGTCAGCAACAAAAAAAAAAAAAGCAGGCATTTGGAGGTTGAAAGCTGAGAGCAACAGAAGGTCCTTTTTTTTTTTTTTTTTTTTTTTTTTTTTTTTTTTTTTTTTTTTTTTTTTTTTTTTTTTTTTTTTTTTGAGTTAAGAATACATTATTTGAATAGAATTTTCTTATCTTAATCATACAGTACAGGATACAGGCAGAAAATTCATACAGCCCTGGCCAAAAGTTTTGAGAATGATACAAATATTAATTTCACAAAGTCTGCTGCTTCAGTTTTTTTTTTTGGATCTTTTTGTCAGATGTTACCATGGTATACTGAAGTATAATTATAAGCATTTCATAAGTGTTGAAGGCTTTTATTGACCATTACATTGTGTATGCAGAGTCAATTTTTGCAGTGTTGACCCTTCTTTTCAAGATCTCTGCAATTTACCCTGGCATGCTGCCAATCAACTTCTGAGCCACTTCCTGACTTGTGGCAGCCCATTCTTGCATAATCAATGCTTGGAGTTTGTAACAATTTGCGGGTTGTTTTTTTTTTCTCAGTTGCTCAACCGCCTCTTGAGGATTGACCACAAGTTCTCAATGGGATTAAGGTCTGGGGAGTTTCCTGGCCATGGACCCAAAATTTCTGTTTTGTTCCTCAAGCTACCTATCACTTTTGCCTTATGGCAAGGTGCTCCATCATGCTGGAAAAGGCATTGTTCATCACCAAATTACCAAACAGACCTACGAAACACAGAGTGTGCAGTCTCTGATGACTGGGGCACTCACTCCTGATTTCAACTCCTGATTTCAAAATGGGCTGCCACATATACAGCACTCAGTCTGGTGAATGTTGAGAGTTCATAAAATACAATGACTAACTATAAATTATTAATATATGGCTCACGGAACATGCATCCATATGAAGAATCCTGTGGAATTAAGCCATTCCCACTGCAGCGGTGTATTGGAATGGATTGATTGGATTCAGAGCAGGGGTCCATGATGAAATCTATAGTGTGGTATTTCAGCAGAAGAGGTTGAAGTAGACAGATCGATGGATGTGGATGAATGCACCCATATGGGGATAGGAGGAATGATGAACTCTGCAGCTCCTCAGTGGTGAGAGATCCAAAGCAACGTGCAGGAGAAACAAAGTATCCAAAGGCGCAGGAGTTGGTAAAATAATTTACATTTTATTAAGACAAATATCCACACTTAGGCTCCATGCACACGGGGCGTTTTAATAATGCTGGTAACGTTAGCTGTGTAAAGTCACGTTAAAAACATGAGTTTTCCAGCTTTTTTTAGCATTTTGCATTAGTGTTTAGTGGCGTTTTTTTGCGCTTGGGGTATTAGTGGATTTTTTGCTTAAAAAAAATGTCCAAAAATTCCAGTTTGCTGCATTTTACCATGTTTTTCAGCATTAGAGCGTTTTTACAGCTAAAAAACTCCTCTAGAAACCCACTAGTTCTGGGTCTATTTCCAGCGAGAAAATGCCCCTGCCAAAAAACACTGATTCCAGTCTGTGTGCATGGACACATAGGTAAACATGCTGGGGAGTTGACTGGCTGTAGAAAAAACGTCAAAAGCAGCAGCTGTATAAATATCATGTGTGCATGAGGACTTATATTTAGGCTTAAAAAAGTGCAGTTTGGACATGGAGGGGATAGACAAGGCCGTGCAGAATGGAAAGCAGAGCAGCTATGTGAAAGCCACTGTCAGCATGAATAGCTGGACCCACCAAATGACAACTGAACATTGGCATTCATGGCTGTCCTAAACGTCCAGGGCAAGCACCTGGGATTGGGCAGGCAAACGCCAACCCCCAGTGGTTAAAATTTATTTTCTGTTTTTTAAAAAAAGAAAAAATTTTCTTTTCTCTTTTTTTTTTTTTTTTTTTTTTTTTTTTTTTTAAACACACTATGAACAGAGCAATATATTGTTACCGTAGTGATCAGGATTTTTTTTTTTTTTTTTTACACATGATTGCTTATACCAGTGTATTTCACTGGTATAAGCAACCTTTTTTACTGAATTAAATTTATTCATTCAGTGTGTATTGTTGTGATTAACTTTAATTGGCCACAGTTAATTGCATGGTACAGATGGGCTATGATTGGCCACGTCAGTCCCATGTGATCACTATGACCAATCACAGCTAGCAACACAATTGTACACAATGAATGGCATGAATCAAAACCATTCATTGGTTACAATTATGTACCCTGCTGTGATTAGTCACAGCGAACACATGGTACTGGCAGCGGCACGGTACAGTTATCTGTCATTGGCTGTGTCCGGTGGACAGAGCAGGTGAGAAATCGCATTGCAGCGCGGCCTCACGCAATGTGCTTTCCAGGAGGGCTTCATATTGCATCCACCCGGAATGACTGAAGTCCTGTCCGGCTGTTATTTTACAATAGTTAGGTTGGGAAGTGGGTAAAATTCCATCAGTGGCTCTATTTGCTTTAAATCTGGATGGAAAGGTTTGCTTTTTGGTTTCCTAGTGCCCCCCGGGGATATCTCATACTTGCAATACCTCCAAAACAAAATTGAAAGTAAAGCTGATTAAAAGCTTCTCAAAAGCTGCATGTGCTGAAAGTGTTCTAGACTTCTATGGAGGCTTCTGAGACGCTTTGAAGCACCAAGAAAGCGACACTGGGTATAATTTTTTAAGCAAAGCAAGGCAAAAGCAATGTGTAAACAGGACTATAAGCTAACCATTTTATTTAGTGACCAGGGCTTTGATTGGCTTTCAGAGTGCTTTAAAAAAAAAAAAAGCATGTTTGATGCACATGTAAACAAGCTCTTAGCACCACTGTTGCCCTGCACAGAACTCACACCATCCAAGTCACAGGCTACCTTGAAGACCTCCTTCAGAGGAGTTTTTATCTTTCTGCAACAATAAGAAAATGTACACATGACAATTCAGATGCTTCAGGCCATCCGCTGGGTGACCAATGTCAACAAATCTGCTCTCTAGCCTTACCTTCACCTGGAATACTTGGGTCTGGTCTTGGATACATACTAGGCAAAAGTTTTCCTCCCTGAAAAAAGTTAATTTTGTAAGAGCACATGCTCAAATCTTGAGATGGTTTTAAAGTTTTGCCTGTCTTCATTAAACTGAAGGTACACATCTATAACCCATGGTCTATGAATATTCTGCCTGTGTCCTCCTGTGCTCTACTTCAAGATAGGGTTATGTTTTTTGTTTGTAGTTTTAGTGTCTCTTTAAACTGTTCGTTTATGTATATTTATTACAAGTAGTTCTATAGCGCTGTCAATTTACACAGCAATATATATATATATATATATATATATATATAGTATATATTCACATCAGTCTCTAACCCTCAAGGGGCGAACAATCTAAGGTTCCTAACTTACATTCATATACTAGGGCCAATTTAGACAGGAGCTAATTAACCTACCAGCATGTCTGTGGAGTGTGGGAGGAAACCGTAGTACCTGGAGGAAACCCACGCAGGCACAGGGAGAACATGCAAACTCCAGAACATTGACACTGAATGTCTGTTTCGTTTATGTTTTTGCATAAAGCACCATTTTGACCTTGGAGCAACAAGTAATACCTGTGAGCTTCTCGAAGTACTTGTCATGTTGAAATGTCCAGTCCGCAATGGTCCATTTTTATGCATTGTAAAATGATGATCCTTTTACCTCATTTATGCTACATCCAAACATCATATGATATGTGAAGGATAGCCCTGATGTGGCTATCCACTGAAGCACAGACAGGATTCTGCATTTGTCCTTCTTCGGGACAGAAGTGCCCTCCTTAGTGTACTTGAATTTTTGGCATTACAGTAAACTTATAAGCAATAAGTGTATATACTATGCAGTAGTTATGTGCTTTGTCATTGTTTTTGTTCATTTTTTTTCTCTTTTTTAGATATGGAATCTATGAGCGCTGCAGAGAGCTAGTGGAAGCAGGCTATGATGTGCGACAGCCTGACAAAGAGAATGTTACTCTGCTTCACTGGGCTGCCATCAATAATAGGATAGATCTTGTGAAGTAAGTATCACATCATGAAAATGGCATCCTTGTTACTACCTTACTGCTTGGAAAGAGCCTATCTCTCCACACTGAACATGGTCTGTCTGCAGACTGCATGGCGACAGCTATGTAGACGTCTGTGTAGAATCTGCGATAAGCTATTTACAGGCAGCTAAGCTTAGAACCTTATTCACTGGAATGGGCAGTTTTGTAAAATGATTCATATCCAGGAATTTGATGCAGTCAATCTGAGATTAATTGTATGCTCCTGTTTGTCATTAAAAGTGATTAGTGGTGTTCACAGAGGGGAACAGCTGCAGCAACCAAATTATATTAATGAAATGAAGCCCTGGTTGCAGCAAATCCACTCAAGTAAACTATTTTATACTGCATTGTCTTTTAAACTGTATATGTTTTCATTTGTTTTAACTAGATTTACTCTGTACTTTGGTTGTCTTGAGATTACTGCAGCCTTATGATCTGGCAGTGTTAAGGTGACCATACACTATACATTCTAATTGTACAATCTCCTTTAGCTCTACCTTCAACTATGTAGTACTAGGGCCATGCCTAATTTGAAAGAAATGGAATGGATTGTTTAGGTGTGCTCCCCTGGTACATCATTTTGGTATAGATATAAAAAGAAATTGTACAAGCGGATTGTATAGCGACATGACCATCTTAACTGCTTGCCGACCTGCCACAGTACATATACTGTGGTAGGGCGACAGCTACAGGCACAGTGACTTACCTGGACGTCGCTGTTTGTTTCGGGCGTTGGTTACCACCCCCTACTCACCTGTGCTTTGACACAGCAGGCATTTGCCAGCAGCTTCTGGCTAGTGATTTATGGCTGGTACCTGCTGATTGCCTGTTTTGAATCACAGCCCAGAGCCCTGTGTTGACGAGCCCTGTGGGAATGGCCAAATTGATCTGTAGTGGGGGAAAAAAAAAAAACGAACACAGGATACACATTAACACTTGTTAGGCACACATATTTTTATTATAATTATACAGTGTGTATGTATGTATATGTGTGTGTGTGTGTGTGTGTGTATATATATATATATATGTGTGTGTGTGTGTGTGTGTGTGTGTGTATATATGTGTGTGTGTGTGTGTGTGTGTGTGTGTGTGTGTGTGTGTGTGTATGTACATGTACATGTGTGTGTGTGTGTGTGTATATGTGTATATATATATATATATATATATATATATATATATGTGTGTGTGTATATATATATATATATATATATATATATATATATATATATATATATATATATATATATATATATGTGTGTGTGTGTGTGTGTGTGTATATATATATAATATGTGTGTGTGTATATATATAATATGTGTGTGTGTGTGTGTATATATATATATATATATATATATATATATATATATATATATATATATATATATATATATATATATATATATATATATATATATATATATATATATATATATATATAGCGCCAACAGTTTGCTCAGCGCTTTACAATACAACGGAACACAATACAGCAACAATACAGTTCAATACAAGAGGGTTAGGAGGGCCCTGCTCCTTGGAGCTTACAATCTAACCTCTTGATTTTTTTTTTTTTTTTTTTTTGTTTTCTTTTTGCCTGACGTTCAGCTTTAAAGTATAATTAAAGACAAAGCTTTCTTTGTCCCTGTTGGCAAGATTCAGCCTATTTGCCCTGATGACTCTTATACCTGAAAGGGAAACAAAATTCTAATATTTAAGTGACTATTACAGGGGCAGCCAATGTTGAACTACTTCTAAAGATTCCAGAAAAACACATTTAAAAGTTGCCGAGATTTCAGTGCTTATTCCGTTTGTACAAACACAATGAAAACCTCAAATTAGATTGCTGCGACTATGTGAGGGTGCTCTAACACACAGGCCTACCTCAAAATTAAGCATACAAATGGGTGCTAAACCACATTGTGGGAGTCCAAAGTGCCTTTCATTGTTCATAATAATAACTACTGCGTTATTGTTATTCCAATTTTTGATTCAAATACATCATTTTGGTTATAGTTTCTTTTGAGCCACTCAAGCCCTTATTCTATTCTTCTAAGCCCTGTCAAGGAGTTTTGTTGTCCCCAAAATGGTCATTTTATGTGCCAGTATTTTGAACAGCTAAACATCCTTTTGGACTCTTTCACATTGTGGTTTGGTGCCTATTAATATGCCTATACTTTGGAGCTACTTCTAAAAAATATCAGTTGCCTGGCTGCTTTGACATACTGACTTCAGTTCTTGCTGACTGGTGTGTTTTTTTTTTTTCTCTTTATTAACCAGAGTTGCAGTGCCCTTTCTATATTCTGTCAAAGCATGGACATTAATGCCTTTGCACTGATTTTCAATGGGGAAAAAAAAAAGATGTCCTTCAAAATTCTTTGTCCAGCCAAGTGCATATAATAAATATTTCATGTGTAATCATTTTATGTTGTACTTTATGTTCTCTTGATTTCACTTATTTGCCCTGGAACTTATTTGTGAATTCACATAAAATGACAAATAAGAAAAAAAAAAATCTCTTTTATATCTTAAGGTTTGTTTTTATGTGGTTTTTGCTCTTAGGTTCTACATATCGAAAGGTGCTATAGTAGATCAACTTGGTGGAGATTTAAATTCTACTCCTCTGCATTGGGCAACAAGGTAACATTATAGCTTGTGGAAATGAACAGAATCTTTCATCTGCTTACACATCTAAAAATTATTTGCTCAAAGTATTTAATGTGCCAGGTTGAACTTGATTTTGCTGAATGGATAGAATGTACTTTACAAATACATGGAAAAGACCTGTTGATTTCTAAAATCATCAGTGAAGTGTTGAAAGTGTTCTACACACAGTGGTGTGAATTACAATGTCACTGACAGCTCTATTTTTAGTGTACATTTCATGAAATGTGTGAACAGGCACTCAAAAGAATAATCAAAAGTTTCTCAGTTTGTTTCCAAATGTGTTCACACTATTTAATAACCTAATTTTAATCATTTCACTGACCACAGGGTTTTTTTTTTTTTTTTTTATTATTATTTCTTCTGCATACGTAAAAATGTTTATTTTAGGCCTGAAGATCACTTAAAACCCCAAAACATTATTTTTTAAAACCAGAAACCCTGTAGAATAAAATGGTGACAGTTGCTTTTTTTTTATATCATACAGTAAATTCGCTTATGTTTATCAAATCTATATTTTCAGTAAACTATACACTTAGACTGATTTTATTGCACATAGAAACCATATATAATAGCCACATTTTTGTAAAATATAAGATGAGTTTGCATTGAGTAAATGGATACCAAATATGTCAAGCCTTTAAATTGGTGCACCTGTGCAATGGCAAAGGACTATGGTACCCAAAGTTGTCTATAGGGGACACAAAAGCCTTTTACAGCTCACCGTTTTAAAGTCATTGGTGAATGGTGGCCTAGAATTGTTGCTCTTACGCCAGTGTGCGTGGTGAAACTGCATATGTGTGGTGCAATAATCCTTTTTTTTTTTTTTTTTTTTTTTTATGTGGTTGCACCAGGGAGCTTTTGAAAAATGTATTATTTTTTTTTCCCAAACGCATCTTTGTTGCTCTCTCAAGGGGGTGGCTAATAAACCCTCCTAGTGATAGCGTAGCACAGGTGGCATGTTCTCTGTAAGGAGACATCAGGAGATACTCATGCACTCCTTTGAAGCTGATTAAAGCGGAGTTCACCCAAAAGTGGAAGCTCTTGTTTGTTTCTTCCTCCCCCCCTCCACTGCCATATTTGGCACTTTCTGGGGGGGGGGGGAGCAGATACCTGGTTTTGACAGGTACCCGCTCCCACTTCCGGCTTAGTTCGCCGCAGAGAAGTGAGCAAGAAGTTTGGCCCCCCCTCCTTCCTCCTGCAGTGTTCTGGGATACATCATAGGTCCCAGAAGACTGCTGCACAGTGGGCACCCAGCTATGAAGCTTGGTGCCCTCGGTTGAGATGCTGAGGAGAGAGAGGATGGCGCAGGTGAGCACATCACTGGACCTTGGGACAGGTGAGTGTGTGTTTATTAAAAGTCAGCAGCTACAGTTTTTGTAGTTGCTTACTTTTAATACACACAAAATTGACTAGAACTCCGCTTTAACCACTGACGGTGCTCACACAGCTTTTACCCCAGGCAGAGACACTGGAGAACCCAGAAGGGCACAGAGCTGAGTGCTTCCAGGTTCATATTTTTACAGGTCAGATCACCAGATAAATGTTTGCTCACCTCCTGCTGCTGTCAGTCCTAAGAACCCAGGAAGGGCAGATAAGCAAAATTGGTTTAACTCCACTTGTGAAGCCCCCCACATGGTGGGGGGGGGGGCTTCACATGTGGAATGAAATCAATTCTGCTGCATAAATGAATATATTAATGGTACAGCACAATCTCAACAAGTAATAAACTACCTCAGTGCTGCAACTCTAATTTAATTATACATACCATCACTTTCAGTAATATACATATATAAAAAAACTTTGAGTCTCCAGTAAATACTAAATACACATAAATAAATCCTGTATAACTTAGTCTGTGATGTGGATCAATATAAATATCGTGCTGGTGAAAAATGCATGATTAGACAAATGAAATTAATATACATCAAGATATCCACACAGTTTGTGAGTAATCGGTGTGTTGATGAATATCTGTGTTTAAATCAATCCTTATTCCAAACGACTTTACCACTGTGATACAGGATTTCTATTGTGTTCCACCATTCATGCAAAGTGGCTGCTCACCTTCAAATGAGACCCATACTCTCATATAGGTCAAAACCACTTGTTTGTCAGACTCTCACGAGTTATGTCCTGCCCTCCCTCCACTCCTAGATCTCTCCAGCGAACACTTCAAGAGCTCTCAGTGAAAACATTGTTTGCTCAAAGGAAAGCGTAAGAAAAAAGGGGTGCGGGGTGCCTATAATATAGTAAATAAAATGACACTTTATTGTAAAAGAAGAGCCACTCACATTAACAAAAGTAAAATACAACTCATCTGTGTTACAACAGTACAGTAAACCTCCTTCCGGTCTTGGCTGCGACTGGAAGTGACTTCATCAGGCTCCGTCTTATAACGCGTTGCGTCACTGGTCACTTCCCCATCCCTGAGGGGAATACTATGTGGAAATTTAGACATATATTCATTTCATTTGGCTAATTATGCACTTTGCACCAGTACAATATTTATATTGATCCTCATCACGGACTAAATTATACGATATTTATTTATGTGTATTTAGTATTCATTGTTTTTTGGTTTTTTTTAAGATATGTATATTGATGAAAGTGGTAAAGTTATTGTATGTACATTTATATCAGAGTCACAGTACTGAGGTTGTGGTGTAAAAACAAAAGGGATTATCGTAGTTTTAGTTTTTGAGGTTGCGAATATAATATGTTCAGTTATCTTACTGTGAAGTGTCAGTTAGTGACAGCTGCATTTTTTTTTTTTTTTTTTTTTTTTTTTTTGTGAATTCACTTTTTATTCACTTTATTGATGAGTATTTGATTTTAATATTTGAGGCAGCGCACATGTAATTTTCACTAAATTCTGCTGCATAGCTGGCAGCCAGGAGTGAAAATGTTACATTGGCGGCTATGCCAGCATGTAAAAATTTCTTTGGTGACAAAAAGGGTGGTCCTCTAGCAGCACATACTGATGAGCATACTCATCCTTTGCTTCCCTTCTTTGGCTGCAGGGATCGATGAGAATATTTACTACTTATGGGTATGTTGAAAACTGTGACTTGCTCAGTGTGATCACTTTGGTGTTTGGTGATTGGCCTAGCACTGTCACGTGGGGCAATGAGAGTCCTAAACACACAGGGTTATTTTTCCTGGTATATTGCAGCTGAACAGAGTGGTAGGTACGTGAAAAGGAAGGTACTACTGAGAAAGGGAGAATAAATTTAATCTCTGTGGACTACTCACATGTTCACCTTTATTGTAATTGCTTTGCTTTCTATGGAGATTATTAAAAAAAAAAAAGAAAAAAAAAAAGTGGGCTAAAATTGCTAGTCTGCCCTTTTGAAAATGGTGGTTGCCTGGCTATTATGCTAACCCATTGGATGCCCTACCTTGAGTCACTGTCTCAGAACAGGTATGTAGGGTAAGAATTCTAACTTTACTTGCTATACACTTGTTTTAGATTAGAAATGTAGAAAATTGTGAACCCAGTGATACCAGCGAATTTTTATTTTCAGGAGGTCAGCAGTGCAGCCTACATATTTCCTTCAGTACAGGATTCCTTTAATGTTCTTGACAAAGAGCATCGAAAATTGGCTGAAAAGTCCTGTTATAGAAACAGTAATTGTTCTAGATTCTTTTTTGTTCAAAGCTACTTGTGTGTGTATTCTTTGAGATTTAACTGAAAGGCTGAAAAGGCATTGTCTGGCCATCTAGTCGTATTTTACAGCAGGATAAATTGCGTTATATCTAAACTCCTTGTCAAAATATATTTTTAGGTTTTTTGGGGTTTTTTTTTATTTGTGTTAGGCCAGGCCTACCCAGTGTGATCAGTATTGGGTCTTTGTAGCTGCATGCTATTCCTTAGTCCCGAAGATGAGGTGACGTACAGTGACACAGTGTCATTCAAAGTTAGATGAAAAGCCACCAGCAACTGTCTCTCTGTCTTGAGTTGCATCTATTGGCTCTGTGTTACTGGCCTTGTTTTACCAGTGTGCTTTGTGTCTTTTTTAATCGCCCACCATTCCCCTTCTGGGGATGAATATAAGTAGATATTCACATTTCCAGCTGGGTTTACTCTCCCACCTCAAACTGTTGGCGAGCAAGTGAGTACAGTCATAGCGATAGGAATGGTGCCAAAGAGTTAATTGCTGTATACTAAAAATGCAGCTTTGCAAGAACTATGGTGGCAGCTGATGATTCCAGAAGGAAGTGTTGACTGCATTCACAAGAATATAGAAACTTAAAGAAGAAGTACAGCCAAAGCTCACAGTGGTGGTGAGAACTCGGCGGTCAGTGGTCATGTGATTGAGTTCTCACCTTTAAAGTCGGCGGGAGACAGATGCCGCATCCACCTAGGTAAGTATGATTTGAGGGGGAAAAAAAAACCCCCCACACTTCTCTTTTAGAAGTTTTAACATACAACACCCTGTTTAAGAATGGAAAATAAATAGCTCTCTGTGAACCTGTCGTACTGTATGCTGGTTTTCTGATGAAGTGAATAGAGGCCATGCCATGCAAGCAGAAACACAGAAAGGGAAGATTCCAACAAGGGTGGCAGTGACTGTCTGGTTGAGGGTGTAGATAAGTACAGTATATACTAGGGCAGTGGTCTCCAAACTGCAGCCCAGGGGCCAGATGCGGCACTTTTTGCTTACTTTTACTGGCCCTTGGGCACTATTTTTCTCCACTGATAGTACCAACAATGTGGCATAATTCCCCCCTCTGACACCAATGAAAGGACAGAATAACTTCCAATGACGGGTCACAATTCCTCCCAATGCGGCACACTTCCTTTCAGACACCAACAAGAGGTCCCAATGATCTGGCTCTATTCCTCCCACTGACACCAAAGACGGGACATTGTTTATTCCACGTAAGTCTTCACCTTTTCTACCCCCAATAGTCCGGCCCTTCTTAAGTCTGAAGGACAGTAAAGTGGCCCTTTTTGTTTAGTAAGTTTGGAGACCCCTGTACTAGGGTACTGAACTTTTTATGGCCTCATTGTGGGTGAGCCAACTAGCAGTTAAGTGAAGAGTAAAGCCTTTTTTGCATGCTAATCTTAAATGGATTTAGAAAAGATTACTAAAGTTTTGAAAATTCTTATAGGACAGAATAAAAATTTGGAAGTGAAGTAATATATTTGAATTGTATTTTTGGACAGAAACTGTACTGATTAAACAAAAAATTGTACAATCTGGTATCGTACGAGAAATTTTCGTGCTTGTCCCTTTGAATAATTTCAGACGGAAGCTGTGTATGAACGATCAGATTGTCATACGGTCGCTTCGAAAGCAGTGTTTTTTTGTGTGGTTTTCTGATCGTGTGTACTAGGCTTAAACTACAAATCATACCTGTGATTTACTTGGTGCCTATGAAGAATGTATAACTCACTATTGTACTGTTTTTGTCTCTGTAGACAGGGGCATTTGTCTATGGTTGTACAGCTGATGAAGTATGGTGCTGACCCCTCATTAATTGATGGAGAAGGTTGCAGTTGTATTCACTTAGCTGCTCAATTCGGACATACGTCTATTGTTGCATATCTCATAGCTAAGGGACAGGTAAGAAGCAATTTATAATCTGGTTTGTTCTCTATGTATGGCTACTGCAGGACTGTACACAATCGATGAGCCAGGCAACCAATACACCAAAAATATCATAGGGTTTTGGTAGAGCAATGTAATTAAGGTAATGAATTTTCCATTAATTTGCATATCCTTGTATTATGGTGACTTTTCAATAAATCTGTGAAGTCGATACATTATTTTTTTGATTGGTGAATAATTTCTTTACCGGCTTAATAAGGTTTTTAATCTGTTGGCTCCGACTGTACTCAAATATGCGGCCTCTCAGTAGCTGGGCCTTGATGCCAAGTGGCTACATATTTGCATACTAAAGTAAACCGTCATAGAGCACACTGTGTGCTCCCAGCACATTTATCGACACCTCTCAAAAATGTCCCGATCACTACTTGCGATCGGGACCTTTTCAATCATGTGACAACCAGTCATCGCTGTCACATGACCCTAAACCCCTCCCCGCATCAGAAACCCTTTAAAAGGCCAGGAGGTGCCGGCACCAAAGGGTTAATACACAAGCCGTAGCCTTCACTAAAACCAGCATTTAGGTAACATTTACATCTCTGTAGGCACATGCTGTCTCCGTTGAAAGCATTGGAAACGTTTGCATATGTTTTCAGTAGAAATGTGTGTAAAATGTGTGCAATGTCATTCTGTCAGCAGAAGAGAAGTCATTTGTCCAGCTGCAAGAATATGGTGGTAATATGGTTGTAACACTTTTTTGTTACTATTTTAAAGTAAAGAAGAATCCTACTGTAATTTTTGTTTATCTGGCTTTTGAAGTACATTTAGAACAGACAGCGGTGACTGACATTCACGGCTGTGAGAACTCAGAGGTCATGTGATCGCTGAGTTTTCTCCCTTAGAGCTGGTGAGAGACAGATGCAGCATTGAAGCAATGCTGCATTTACCTAGCTAAGTATGATTTTGGGGGGGTGGGGCAATCCCCTACTTTTCTTTTAAGTACTCTGACTGTGACCAAATGGACTCCGTTGAACAGATACCAAAGGACCCTTGCTGCATTCGCTGACACTGGTGTAGCCTGCCCTCCTGATACTTTCCAGACAGTAAATTACATTGCAGTTTTATTTGGCATATGCTCACTTGAGTACATTTAGGCACAGTAAGAATTCTTAAGCCTTGGTGAAAGGGGAGTGTTTGGCCCCATGAGGCACGTTGGCTCTCTTCTACTATGAATCAATTTTGTCATTCATTTACCTTGGACTTTTGGCACTCTCATTGGATTGTATGTGTCTATTTTTCTGAGGGTGGTCCCTGTTTTGTGGCGTTCTGCCAAGCCAGGACCCAGTGGAAAATTTTCGTTATCCTTGGAAAGTCCAGTGCCCCATTTGTTCTTTTGTTTTAGTTTTGCTGTCTCGTAGGGGTAACTGGATCAGAGGACTAGTCAAACGCAATTGCAAATTTTTTAGGAGATAAAACAATACTGTCTTGTTTCACTTCAGTTCTACAAATATTGACACTGAACGATCATATTGCTATGTATAGTTTTCCTGTGATTTCAGGACTACAGAGTCCTCCATAATGCAATATGAAAGCAGTTTCTATTTGTTGCAATGCTGCAGACCATTGACTTTTTACTGCCAGCTTTCTTTTTTAAGTCCATTTGAACTTTCAGAATAAATCATCTAAATACAAGCCAAATCTTGAGCAAGTTCTCCTGACAGCTTGCTTTAGAGAAGGACCCTTGATTATGTGAAAGTAGGTCTCTTTCCAGAAGTCTGACATGCCCCGTACGAACTCAGATCTGGAACTTTCCGATCAGTGCGGGGTATCTGCTTTACTGATTTCAGAGCTATAGGTCTCGCTCGACAGAGGCTGTGTTGGACCTTTGCATTGAGATCTCTGCTTCCAATCAGAGAACAGGGGTCCTTCTCTGCATCGAAAGACTTTGCACCTGATAAGTATTTAGCCAATTTTAAATTTGAAAGATATTTTGGGTCTTAATGCTGCTCCTACAGATAACAAAGAAAGATATGTAAATTTGACAGAACTGACTGAATATGTGTAGTGAGAGTATGAGAGAAAAAATAATCAACTGGAAATGGATGAACTGGTTTTCTACTCTGCAGAGGGTACCGTTGGATTACATATCACTAAATATTCTTTGCCCTAGTTAATGATTCTCATTTCTGGTTAAAAAGCTTGTAATTGTTATACATAAGTGACATAAATTAGGCTTAAAATTTCAGGTGTTGGCTAATAGGAGATAAACAGAGGAGTTCTACTGCGATAAGAGGGAAAAAAAAAACCCATAGAGGCTAGTACTTCTTGAGAATACAGTCAGGTCCATAAATATTGGGACATCGACACAATTCTAACATTGTGTTCTATATACCACCACAATGGATTTGAAATGAAACGAACAAGATGTGCTTTAACTGCAGACTGTCAGCTTTAATTTGAGGGTATTTACATCCAAATCAGGTGAACGGTGTAGGAATTACAACAGTTTGCATATGTGCCTCCCACTTGTTAAGGGACCAAAAGTAATGGGACAGAATAATAATCATAAATCAAACTTTCACTTTTTAATACTTGGTTGCAAATCCTTTACAGTCAATTACAGCCTGAAGTCTGGAACGCATAGACATCACCAGACGCTGGGTTTCATCCCTGGTGATGCTCTGCCAGGCCTCTACTGCAACTGTCTTCAGTTCCTGCTTGTTCTTGGGGCATTTTCCCTTCAGTTTTGTCTTCAGTAAGTGAAATGCATGCTCAATCGGATTCAGGTCAGGTGATTGACTTGACCATTGCATAACATTGCAATGTGCTACTATGAATCAAATTACAAGTGCATCTAAAGGTGTATACAATTAGCACACCCAAATATTTAAGTAGGTGCTATAACACAAAACCCTTTCTCATATGTGGGCAAAAACAATAAATAAAAATAATATATAAAAAAAAGTGCAGCTCTAAAATAAATATATCAAACCACTCGATAAAATCAGTAGATAATTATGATCAATAAATATCCCATCTAAAATTGGATAGTAAATTGTTAATAAATATAATCAAAAAAGTTCCGATGTGTAAACAATGAAATAGGATAAGGTGACTCTTGTGCTCTGGTAACTCTGGACCCGGTCTCCGTGCAATAGTGGTAAGATAATGCGCACTCACCGGACGTGCATGTTAATTGCGCCTTATGTTAATAATCCAGATGTCATCAGATAGGAAAGGGTCAGGAGCCAGAAGGTCTTCCCTCTAAGGGATGGTGGGTCATCAAACAGGAGTTGATACAGGTGGTCCTCGTCCTCTGAGGTCCCCCCTCTTATCCAGACCTTATGTTAATCTCTGGGTAGGCAGATTTCCACTAAAGGATCCGTCCTGGAGTAGTGGGTCTGTGGGTTTAGAGAGCTCCCCCGGGGGGTAGGGGCAAAGATACTGTCAGTGTAGAGAGAGGGCTATGGGGTGGGTTACTCTTCAGCGAGCCATAGAGATCTTCAAATGCATACTCCCCAGGCAGAGCATTGCAGAAGGAGCAATAATGGCAGAGATTGCCGGCAGCTGGATGCATTGATTATATTAACCATTTACTGTTCGATTTTTAGATGGGATATTTATTGATCTTAATTATCTGATTTTATCAAGTTGTTTGGATATTATATTTTAGCGCTGCACTTTTTTATATATTATTCGTGTTCTAGGGTGATATTGGTTACCTTTTTGTGCATAGCAGCTTTCCTGGTCTGTGTAGGGCGCTCGCACTTCTGTTTATATAATAAATAAAAATAATACTGTGCAGCGCTGCACATCAAAACAATAAATAAAATAGTGGATACTGTAAGTGATAATAATATGAAAAGTCCCAATAAAAATGCTTCTGAATGAATATCCTTCCTCCTATGAACACCGGTGCTCCAAACGCAGAGAGTGCACAATTCCTCCACTAGATGTCTGCTCACCTCCAGCAGTGCGACCTCACAAATATTATGCTTGGTTTAACACGCACTTTTGGTCACAGAGTGTACTCTGAAGATCATCTTTATGAATAATGGATCCCAATGGCTCACTCCAAAGAACACCCTTCATCGGCAGTAATCTTCGTGAACAATAAACTGTGCCTGAGCACTATGATGTGACATGTAGTGGCATCTTCTGAACGCTTTGGAGTAGTAGCAGCCAGTTCCCTTTGATGAATGTACAAACAACCTTTAGGTCCAAATATCTGTAATGGTTGACTTGTTAACTCTTGAGCTTGCGCCTTAATCTGCTCATGCATCTGTATAATCCGGGTAATACACTGGCTGACATCGAGCCTCTGACTCACAATTAAAGCTGGCATGATGCAATGTAATTAAAGGAAAGGGTGCTCCAAGGACAGTAAGGCTGGGAGGGAAGTGCTAGATGATGCTGGATGTCTTCCAGCCAGGAAAGACGTCCTGATGTCCTTCCAGAAAGCGCCACCCCCTGCATGCCCCCAGTGGTGCACACCCAGCAATCTCCTTGATCACTGTGTTCTACGGACACATGACGAGGTAAAAGACCAATCACAGTGGTCTTTTACCATGTGATCAGCTGTGTCCAACAACACAGCAGATCACTGAGTAAATACAGTTGCTGGTTATCGGCAGCACTTTCTTCACGCTGTGACAGCGTGAGGAAAGTACTGCTGATAACCAGCAACTGGATGATCAGTACCGCCTGTCAGTGCCTTCTCATCAATGCCCATCAGTGCCACCCCATCAGTGCAGCCTATCAGTTCTGCCTATCAGTGCAGCCTCATCAATGCACATCAGTAAAGGAGAAAAATTACCTGTGTGCAAAATTTTATAATAGAAACAAAGAAAAACTTTTTTTTTATATAGTGAAAAAAATAAAACACCCAGTGGTGATTAAATACCACCAAAAGAAAGCTTTATTTGTGTGAAACAAAATTATAAAAATGTCATATGGGTACAGTGTTGCATGACCACGCAATTGCCATTCAAAGTGGGACAGTGCTGAAAGCTCAAAAATGGCCTGGGTGCGAAGGGGGTAAAAGTGCCCTGTAGGCAAGTGATTAAGGTACAAAAGTTTCTGTGCACAGGATTCCCCTCAGCACCCCCCCCCCCCCCTTATTACCTGAGCCCGATCGAGATCCAGTGCTGTGCTCAAAAGCAGTGGCTCTCTCCTCAGTGGTCATGGTGGCAGTCATGGGAGCCATTGGCTCCTGCCACTGTCATCCACAGACAGTGAGGTGAGACAAGTGGTTTGCTATGGGGGTACTTGGCAGGGGGGAGGAACCAGGAGCAACTGTGGGGTACCCCAGAAGAGGAGGATCAAGATTGCTCTGTGCAAAACCGTTGCACAGAGCAGGTAAGTATAATTAACGTGTGTTTTTTTTTTTTTTTTTTTATCCATGTATGTTTACAATCAGTTTTAAGTTATTATTATAATACAAGATTTATATAGCGCCAACAGTTTGCTCAGCACTTTACAATATAACGGGAGACAATACAGCAACAATACAGTTCAATACAAGAGGGATAGGAGGGCCCTGCTTCTCGGAGCTTACAATCTAGGAGGGAGGGGCTAGTGGTACAAAAGGTAGTAACTGTGGGGGATGGACTGGTTGGAAGAGTAGAAGATTCCAGTATTAGCTGAGGGTGGGGTAGGCTTCCCTGAAGAGAGAGGTTTTCAGAGCTCGCCTAAAAGTGAGCAGAGTAGGTGATAGTCTGATAAATTGGGGTAGAGCGTTCCAGAGGATGGGGGAAGCTCTGGAGAAGTCCTGGAGAGGAGCATGGGAGGAGGAGACAGGAGGTCATGCGAGGAGCGGAGAGTACGGTTTGGATGATAGTTAGAGACCAGATCGGTGATGTAATTTGGGGCAGAGTTATAAATGGCTTTATATGTTATTGTTAATATTTTGAATTTTATCCGTTGGGCAATGGGAGGCCAGTGGAGGGATTGGCAGAGAGGGGTGGCTGATACAGAACGGTTAGTAAGGTGGATGAGTCTGGCAGCAGCATTCATGAGAGACTGAAGAGGGGATAGCCTGCGATGAGGTAGGCCAATGAGGAGGGAGATGCAATAGTCAAGGCGAGAGATAACAAGGGGGTGAATAAGTTGCTTAGTAGTTTCCGAGGTTAAGAACGGGCGTATCTTGGAGATGTTGTGGAGGTGAAGTCTACAAGATTTGGACAGCAATTGGATTTGGGGCTGAAAGGACAGATGGGAGTCTAGGATTACACCTAGTACCCTGGCATGAGGGGAGGGACTGATGATTGTGTTATTGATCTTGATGGAGAAGTCAGCGGAGGGGGCACGGACGGGGGGAATACTAAGAGCTCAGTTTTGGAAAGATTGAGTTTGAGGAAGTGGAGTGACATCCAGGCCGATATGTCACTTAGTAGGCTAGTAATGTGAGAGGAGACTGAAGGGGTGAGGTGAGGGGTAGAGAAGATAGATTTGTGTGTCATCAGCAGGTTCAGTTATAAGCAAACTACAACTATGTGTGAATTTTTTACTGTATGTCACTGTCATGGTATCTGATATTCAGAGCTTTAGTTATATTGTGCATTATATTTAGCTTTAATTGGTTCCCCACAAGAGTTCCCCACCTGATGTTATTTGCTTCAGCCCCGATCCAGCAGTCTTCACTGAGCAACTGCGTTTTGAGCTGCACTTCCTTCTTCCTCCTAAACAGCTGCTGCTTACAGATCACGTGCGCTGCGGCCTCATTCATTCCTATTGGAAAGCTCTACTCGTGGCATGCCCATGAGTACAGGGAAGGTCAGAGCGAACACCCTCCATCATTCACGCTATGTTCTTTGGACATCAGAGGTATCCAGTGACTTAGTTTTTTAGTTTTGGGTAGCGTGGAGGTGGATTATTATTATACAGGATTTATATAGAGCCAACAGTTTGCTCAGCGCTTTACAATATAACGGGAGACAATACAGCAACAAGACAGTTCAATACAAGAGGGTTAGGAGGGCCCTGCTCCTTGGAGCTTACAATCTAGGATTAGAACACCTATTTGGTTTTTATTGCTGTCTGTGTCGACAATAGGGAGATTCATCCTCTCTATTTGTCCTGTTTACCATTGAAAGTAAAATAAAATCCCACATTTTGGGTTGTCCCCAGAAAAGTAATAGAGGAAATCTTCCTATGGGGACACTAGTTCTGGTGACCTGGGGGCCGCCATAGGAATAATTTGCAGGGGTTTCTTATCACTTACTGTTTTGGCCATGGAACAGGAAGTGAAGGGAAATCTCCCCAATGGGACACAGTAAGAAAGGGTTATAACCCCTGTAATTTTTTTTTTTTTTTTTTTTGCCATCTATTTAAAATTAAAAAAAAAAAAGTTTTGCTGATCTACTAAGTAGGAATACAGTTTTCTGCTTTATTTTCTCTATATGGAGGTGAATACACTTGAGGAATTGTCACAAACTATATGCCTGTGTAAGAAAAAATGAAAGCTGCCATTAGCACTTAGAAAATGAAGCACAGAATGTCACTTTGCTTCAGTTTTCAGAAATAAGCTCTCACTTTGTGAACTTTGTATTGCAAAACTATTTTCTGGCAGCAGGTGGCACTACTGTTCTGTCTATTTAGGGAACTCATGCCAGTGCAGTTGGATGGTTTCAAGGAAAATCTGAAGTGCTACAGATTCTTCTTTTTATTTAAATAACAATCTTTTTAAGTGATCTTTTTTTCCATTTAAGTGTATCCTTACATTTTTTTTTTTCGGATTTTCCTCCTGCCCCAGGATAATGGAAGATTAGCTTGTGTTTACTACATTCTTTGTCTGCCAGATTAATTTTGTTTATTATCCTTGGAACAATGGCTCAGTGGAAAGTTAATTTCACAGCTCGAATATTGGTTACCTTTTATATGGTTACAGCATCACTTGAGATCAAAGTTTACATTTATCTGAAAAGACTATGAAATTTCTAATGAAGTAGAATATTCTTTATCTTTAGTGCACTGTTTGTTCAGACAAAAGTTATTGTGTTTTTTTTATTTGAAATCAATGGCTACCGTGCAGACTTTACAGCATCCCTTCACCGTTAGGCGGGTTTGGGGAGTAAAGCTGTCCATAAGTACAGCGCTGAGCAAACCCTTTGGCGCTATATAAACTCAATGTAATGTAATGTAATGGAGTGATTTTCTCTCCTGCAGCCATGGTTTGCAGGAAATAAAATCCCTTGGTTCTCCCATCAACACAGTCAGTGTTGAAGGGACAATCCCTCCCCCTGGGGCCATTGTGTTTTCGCGGGCGGGGGGAGCCATCCCTACCACACTATAATAGCCACTAGCAATAATCGCATTTAAAATCTGCTGGGCTGGTTGTACCCAATTTGATCGATCGATCAACTTGCGCAAATTCAGCCTTCCCATACACAGTTTGAATCTCAGCCAGTTCCTGCTGAACTGGCTGGGAGTCGAGCCATCTATGGACGGCTTTAAGCTCCTTTCTTGCATAGCAGAAAAGCATATTCGTGTGTCCCCCCACTTGAATGAATAAAAAGAAGTTTCTGAACCTTTTCAGTTGTAGAGCGTTATTGTAGGTTTTGATACATTTTTTTGCACATCTTACAGTGTGCAAAAATAATGCTGGCCACATTTGGGCTGCCATTAAGAATTAATGGCACTGCAAGTGTGATGTGCGTTTTTTTTGTTTTGTTTTTTTTCAGGTTTCTGCGCATGCTCCCGAAGCATGCATGTGTGAAAGCAGACTTAAAGGCAGAGGAAATAGGCGACAATTTTTAATTTCTGTTAACATCTTCATAGACTAGTTTTTGATTTAATCTTATATTTGGCATACAAATTTTCTTTTTTGTGTCTTATACCTTGATCAATATTTGTATTCCAGGATGTTGATATGATGGATCAAAATGGAATGACTCCCTTAATGTGGGCAGCTTACAGGACACACAGGTAACCATTTAATTCACAGTCTTCATAGAAGCTGGTTGTCCACAATGTCATCCAATCCCAGAAATAGCTATATTCTATCAGTAGAAATTATATGTTAGAAATGTATAGATCTGCACCCATTTCTAGATGCTGCTGTTATGTATTCACAGGTTTGGCTGACTCTCAGGTCCCATTCACAATATGACGTTTTGAATCAGTAGCAGAATCGCCATGATTCTGCCTGCAATTTCAAAACTATATGCTAAAATAACAAATCGCACAACAGAGTGTTAAGGTGCTATTCATTTTAATGAATTTCTAGGTGGCCAAAGAGATTACCCATTAAAGTGTATGGTCTCAAGGACTAAGTTTCACCCTTTTCTATCGAGGCACACTTTACTAGATCTGTTAGTGCTTCTTGGGCTTTTTGGGGTCGGTCTACAGTTTTCCTGATTTGCAAGGCTGCAACCTGGTCCTCTGTTCACTCATTCTCTGAGTTTTAGCAGATGGATATTCAATCCTCTTCTGGTCCCAGCTTCAGCCAGTCCTCTTCTGTTCTATGTTTTTTTTTTTTTTTGGTGGGCCTCTTAACATTTTGTCGTTATTGCCCACCCCTCAGTTGGACTGCTTTTGGACTTGCTGACAATCTCTGAATTGCTGTGTACCTCAATAATTAAGAAAAGGAATTTTTGTACTTAAGGTAAAATCCATTTCTTATAATTCTTAAAGAGACACAGGTCCCACCCCAATTTGTGTATGATCATGCCCTTGGTACTGCTTTTGTCAGAAAACTGATCATGCGGGGAGTTGAAGGAGTATACTAGGCAATTGTAGGTAGCAGTATATCCCAGCAGCACCGTCAACTTCAAGAAATTTTTTTTTTCACTGCATTTTATTATGTGTCTCTGTTTTAAAGTGGAAAAAAAATTATATATATATATATATATATATATATATATATATATATATATATCCACTTTAAAAAGAGACAAATAATAAAATAAGATTTTCACAATATGGCGTTTTGTATCAGAGGCAGAATTGCCTTTTTAAAATATTTCGAAAAATAATACGAATAAGAAGATAATACCTCTGCCAATCCCCCCACCCCACTCAGAAAAGAATATTTAAAATAGTCATAATGTGAAAATGGCTCTTTGAAGCTTTTAATAAGTGAATACTGTATATCTAGTAGGTCTTCTGCCTTCACTGATGCTTGAAAGCTATTAGAAGTATAATCTACAAAGTTGTAATTCTGTCTTCAAAATGCCTGTAAAAATGTAACATTTACATGAACCATTGCTTTTTTTTTAAACCCCTAAAAAATACTGTCTTACAATGTATCCACAGAAAATAAACCTAAGGCTTACCTTAAAATTGTTTTTGCTGTTTTTTTGTTTTGCAGTGTGGATCCCACTAGATTGCTCCTTACCTTTAATGTGTCTGTAAATCTTGGGGATAAATACCATAAAAACACTGCATTACACTGGGCTGTTTTAGCTGGAAACACTACAGTCATAAGTTTGCTTCTAGATGCTGGTGCCAATGTTGATGCTCAGAATATTAAGGTAATGTTTTTAGTTTGCAGAAAAATATAAATTATTATATATTTTTGTTGAGCTTTTTAGCAAAAACCCTCAGCTTTCAGTATAGACAAAAGTGCTTTTAAGCGGTAGTAAACTTGACTCTAGCAAAAAAAAAAAAAAAAAAATGAAATCTTCTCCCTGCAAGGTAATTTCATAATGTGCTAGTATGCATATTGTGAAAGACTTACCTGAGAACGAAGCCCTCCAGTGGCACGCTGTCTCTGCTGACAGGGCTTCCATTTTCACCCGGTCTTCCTCCTGGGTTTGCAGGCTCTGGCTGCTTGATTGGCCGAGGTGCGATGGCATCACTCCCGCGCATACACATGGGAGTCTTGGCCGTGGCGCAGAGCTCTAAAGGAACTGCACGGGTATGCCATTCTTTCAGTGCGCATGCGTCGGTGACGTCACCGGCTGCAGGGACACTGAAGATTTCCTAAATGGTGCACGTTTAGGAGATATTCCTTGTACCTACAGGTAATCTTTATTATAGGCATACCTCTAGGTACAAATTTCCAGTGGGAGTTTTAAGCAGCAAAAAGTCTCATGTTATATGGGTAGTTTAGAAGTCTTTGTCTATGGAAAAGTCTGTAGGACCTTAAATCATTCACTCATTACATAAAAAAAAAAAGTGCCCAAGAAAAAGGATGACCTATATTTTTAAAAGCGTAAAAGGAAGAAATATGCTGTATTACCCCTAAACTTTAAAATGTGTATATAGAGATTTGTATAGTAGGTAAAAATGTTGCCTTACCAGATAAGCGGTTTTAATAAAAATCTGTATTTTTATCATAATGAAAGAAGCATAAGAAGTACATTATGCCAACACAGCAGCTTTCAAATGCATGTCTGGCCTCCAGTTCAGTGGTGGTCAGCCTGAAAATTAAAGAGCCTCACATGCGGCCCCAACACTTCCAGAGGGCTGCAAAATAGCAATGCATTTTTGTGTATTGAGGTGCATTACATTAGGTTAGGCATCCCAATCTAAACGAATGAGCTGTAATGTACCTCAACACCCCAAATGCCAGCATTGCTCCATTTTTGTAGCATATCACAATGCATACTGAAGAAGTTGGAGTACAATAACCCCCAGCTTTGGTGTCAGTGACAGTAATAATAACCCCCTAGCATGGGTGTTGGTGGACACAATAACCAACCATAATTGGTGTCATTGGATGCAATAATAACCCCCAGCACTGATGTTAGTGAGTGCAGTAAGAACACCCAACATTGATGTATGTGGAATCAATAACCCCCAGTATTGTTGTCAACAAACACAGTAATAACCTCAAGCATTGGTGTCAGTGCATGCAATAATAACCCCCAGCATTGGTGTCTGTGGAATCCGTAAAACCCCCAGCATTGTTGTCTGTTGATGCAGTAATAGCCCCATAGCATTGGTGACTGTGGCTGCAATAATAGCCCCACAGCATTGGTATCAGTACTTAAACACACACATGCATACCTACATACTGATAGCTACTGGCAGTGGAAAATAGTTCCCCCTTCCCTGTATTGGTTGTCAGTGGCAGTTAAATTTAGTGCCCCCCAGTTGACTCTTAAAAATGTATATAGAAAAATGTTCATTTTTGTTCAAGCCATTTAATGTATAAAGAAGATGAAAAGAAAAAAAGTTATAGTGCCCCTTAAAAAAGCTACATTTTTATACGATAAAACCATAGCAGAATGTGTATGCTAAAGAAATTCCTTGTTTTTACTTTTAATCCAATAGTGTTTCCTGCTTGTGTTCATTGCAGGGAGAGTCACCACTTGATTTGGCAAAGCAAAGAAAAAATGTTTGGATGATCAATCATTTACAGGAGGCAAGACAAGCCAAAGGCTATGACAATCCCTCATTCCTCAAAAAACTCAAGGCGGATAAGGTAAAGGGCAGCATTTGTATGGCAAAGAAAATGGTGATGACTTTGGCTTTCTAGTCAGTGGTCTTGAGATTTTTTTTAATTTTATATATCTATTTATTACAGACACTTGGATAGCGCTGTCAATTTATGCAGCAGTTTTTTTTATATATTTTACATTCACATCCGTCCCTAACCCTCAAGGGGCGTACAATCTAAGATCTACCTTACATTCATACATACACATACTAGGGCCAATTTAGACAGGATCAATTAACCTACCAGCATGTCTTTAGAGTGTGGGAGGAAACCAGAGAACCTGGAGGAAACCCACGCAGGCACAGGGAGAACATGCAAACTCCAGGCAGGAGTTCCATATATATTTGGACACAGCCTTTGGACACAGCCACAATTTTGATACTTTTGGCTCTGTATGCCACCAGAATAATTTAAAACGAAACAATCCAAATGAATATAATCATAAATAAAATGTTAATTTTTAATATTTTGTTGAGAATCCTTTACTGGCAATGACTGCCTGAAGTGTGGAACCCATGGACATTACCAAAGACTGGGTTTCCTCCTTTCTGATGCTTTGCCAGGTTCTATCTGCAGCTGTCTTCATTTGTTCTTTGTGGGTATTTCTGCCTTTAGTATTGCCTTCAGCAAGTGAAATGCATGCTCAATTGGGTTGAGATCAGGTGATTGACTCGGCCATTGCAGAATATTCCACTTATTTTCCTTCAAAAGCTCCTGGGTTGCTTTTGCAGTGTGTTTCAGATTATTGTCCATCTGTACTGTGAAGCGCTGTCCAATCAACTTTGCTGCATTTGGCTGAATCTGGGCTGACCGTATATCTCTAAACACTGCAGAATTCATCTGGCTGCTTCTGTCAAATCATCAATAAACACCAATGATCCAGTGCCACTAGAAGCCTTACATGCCCATGCCATCACACTGCATCCACCATGTTTTACAGATGACGTGTGCTTTGGATCATGAGATGTTGCAAGCCTTCTCCACACTTTTTTTCCCGTCATTTTGGTACAGATTAATCTTAGTTTCATCCGTCCAAAGAATGCTTTTCCAGAACTGGTCTGGTTTTTTTAGATGTTTTTTGGCAAAGTCTAATCTGGCTTTTCTATTCTTCAGGCTTATGAATGGTTTGTACCTTGTGGTGAACCCTCTGTATTTGCTCTCGTGAAGTCTTCTCTTGATTGTAGACTTTGACAATGATATGACCACTGTTGTCTTCCGTGGACGTCCATGCCTTTTTATGTTGTTGAGCTCACCAGTGCGTTCTTCTTTCCTCAGAATGTACCAAACTGTTGATTTGGCCATTCCTAATGTTGCTGCTATCTTTTTGATGGATTTGTTTTGTTTTTGAAGCCTTACAATGGCCTGTTTCACTTGCATGGACAGCTCCTCTGAACGCATGATGTAGGTTCACAGCAATAGATCCCAAAAGCAAATACCACACTTGGAATCAACTCCAGACCTTTACCTACTTAATTGATGAAGAAATAAAGGAGTAGCCCACACCAGGCTATGAAACCGCTTTTGATTCAATTGTCCAATTACTTTTGGTCCGTTGAAAAAGGGGGGATGGCTACTCTTAAGAGCTGTAATTCCTAAACCCTTCCTCCAATTTGGATGTACATACCCTCAAATTAAACCTGAGAAGTTCACTTTCAGCCCATATCTATTATATAATTATAGCTTGAATATGTTTTGGTAAATACCTGAAAAAAAGATAAAATTGTGCCTGTGTCCAAATATATATGAACCTAACTGTGTGTGTAAAATAATATTTTTTTTTTTTTTTTTTTAATTCTTTTAGATTTGTAATAATTGGTTTTGTTTTTCAGGAGTTTCGGCAAAAGGTGATGCTTGGAACACCATTCTTGGTGATTTGGCTGGTTGGTTTTATAGCTGATCTTGACATTGACTCCTGGTTAATTAAAGGTGTTATGTACGGTGGAGTTTGGGCAGTGGTGCAATTCCTATCAAAGTGAGTAACGTGAAACATTCTCTAGAGCAGAACTAAACCCTCCTATAATTGTGCAGCTGGATGGCGCCATTTTAAATATTAGCAAAATTAAATTAATTTATGCTTCTTTTAATAGGTGCACCAGCTCCGCAACTGTCACAATGGGCAGAAAGTGCCCTGCCGTTACTAGTCCTGCCCTTTGCACTTCATCACAGTTTGAGATTTCTTTCAAGTGGTAATAGGTGAGGCTCCTGAGAGTCCAAACTGTGGTGAAGCGAATTGGACAGGACTAGTGATGGAATGCTTTCTTCATGCTCTTGGCAGATTGGGCAATTGTCAGAATTTAAGCTTTGTATTTTGGGTGTCATTGGGGCAACCTTAAAGTTAGAGAAATTTCATTTGATTTAACAAATAAAATGATTTTACACTGTGTGGGTTCTCTTTGTACAGTGTATCATCTGGATGAGCATGAAAGGAAAAATCCAAGGAGTGAGTGAGTTTAGAGTAGAATTCCAGCTCTCCAATCACTTCAAATGGTCGTTTGGGTCAAACGTTTTCTGTGTGTGTGCTGTAGTATATACAGTGAACAGAGATGTGTTTGGGCAGCGGTAAGGGCTCAATTACACATGTGTAGATTATAAAAACAAAGCATTGCTCATTAATGTGCTTATAGCATTGATGATGTGTTTTCATTGTGTTCTTGAAGTATTGAAAAAGCTTCAAGAATGCTTGATAAATGCCCATGAAAGTGATGTTTTCTAGTGGGAAATGCTTAAAGTGGTATTAAAGGTTTGGCTTTTTAAAAAAACAAAAACAAAACAACAAACATGTCATACTTTCCTGCTCTGTGCAATGGTTTTGCACACAGCAGCTCCAATCCTCTTCTTCTCTGTTCTGTTCCTCCGGCACTCTGGCTCCTCCCCATTGACCAGTGCCCCCAGTAGCAAGCCGCTTGCTATGGGGGCACTGTTGCCTGCCTGCTCCCAAGCCCTGTTCTATGCGTCCATAAGACACATAGAGCCATGGCTCAGCCCTGCCCCCACTCTCTCCCCATTGGCTTACTGGCTGTGATTGACAGCAGTGGGACCTAATATCTTGGCCTTCCCCCTCTCTCTCCTCATTGGCTAACTGGCTTTTTGCGTTTTTGTATTAGTGTTTAGCGGCGTTTTATCGCGTTTGCGGTTTTTAGAGGTTTTTTTTACACCCCAAAATTTTTTTTTTTGGCAAAAGTCCAAAAACGCTGCTTTGCCGCTTTTTGTCACATTTTTCAGCATTAGAGTTTTTTTACAGCTAAAGAACTCCTCCAGAAACCCACTAGTTCTGGGGGTTTTTTTTCCAGCCAAAAATTGCCCCTGACAAAAAAAAAAACGTTGATTACAGTCTGTGTGTATGGACACATAGGATAACATGCTGGGGAGTTTACTGGCTGTATAATGTTAAAAGCCAAAAACAGCAGCTGTAAAAACATCCAGTGTGCATGAGGACTTATTGTATGTAGCTAATGCTACTACAGTATAATAGAGTGCATGCAGCTGCCGCATTTTTGTGTAACGGAAATAGTTTGGGCCAGTTTAGTCCAAATAAACTATTTAAAGTCCTATGATTTGGTTGGTTAGGAGAACCAACACCTATGTGCTTTTGTTCTCTGCATGATCTGCTTCGTGAAGTTTGCTTAGTAAATTCAAAATATGCCTTATAGGCATTACTCCGCTTTCTATGGGAAGGTATGTCATTGTCTCAAATTTCTTCATTTTTTTTTTTTCTTCCGACACTCCATCAAATCTTGTTGTTTTGGTTATTTGTTCCAAATTCCACATTAAAATTCATTTATTGTTTTGAAAAATTCCAAAGTCTATCCCTTTCTGTGGGTTCCTTCGCTGCCCTTACTGTGTTTGTCTAGCGTTTTCAGTTAACACACAATGTAGAAAATAGGTTTTCTTTAATCAGCAGAGCACAAAAAGATGACATATTTCTTTTAGAAGAACAAGTAATTGTAGCTAGCACAATCCTTAGGAGGGAGCGCATTGTGGTGCTGTGTGTGTAATGCCATCTGTGTCCGTGAAAGAGTATTTAGTACAGGTTCATTTGAGGTGATGGTTAACTCCATGTGTGCTTTCATCAATCACTGCCTCTTACTTTTTGTGTGAGTGACAGATTGTCTGTCTTTTGCACTGGGTGATCTGTCACCACTTCTGTATATCCAACACAATATCAGATATAGCTTTATGGTACACAATCATTGGATCTTTCTTGTACCATTTAATTTAAGCAGAACTTAAACCATTTGCATGTGATGTTTCTTAGTATATGTGAAGGTTTTGGCTCCCACAGCTGTCACCATGATGCCTGGCCACACAGTCAGAATTTCTTTTAGAGCTGATCTGTTGGAAGTGGGAGTATTTATGTGATTTGAATACAATATAAATGGATTTATTACACTATATCGTAGGTTGCTTATCTGCTTGTGTGGTCGGCTTTAGAGAAATTAATTTTGTTCATGTCCATCCGACACAGATGGACAATCCAGAGCTCACTGTGAAGTATAGTTTTGGAGGTGAATGTGTTCTGAAATACAAGCACACTGGTATCACACTCCTATCTCACCAGAATCCTAAGAGAATTACAGAAACCATTTCAGTACTGGTGACCGTAAAGCTTCCTGTAAGCCAGTGGTTCTCAACCTGTGGGTCGTGACCCCTTTGGGGGTCGAACGACCCTTTCACAGGGGTCCCCTAAGACCATCAGAAAACACATATTTACGATGTGTAAAGAGCAGCTACTGTGTAGAAAGCAGCTGCTGTGTTGAAAGCAGCTACTCTGTTAAAAGCAGCTACTGTGTTGAAAGCAGCAGTATTGGAGGTAAAACGACACTCATGAATTATAATTACTGGGTAAATAATTTTATGGTTGGGGGTCACCACAACATGAGGAACTGTATTAAAGGGTCACGGCATTAGGAAGGTTGAGAACCACTGCCGTAAGCGTTATAGAGAAGGTGGCTGTACAGGTACAGTCCAACTGGCCTGGCAGCAAAACATCCTCAAAGGCCTCCATACAACTTGTAAACTCAATTAAGTTTTTTTTTATATGATAGGAAAGGGGATAAAAATAAATGAGGGTTGCCAGCTCCTGTCTATATAAAGTTATTGAATAGTAGTAGTGTCCTACAGAAAAAAAACCCCAAAAAGGATATAGCACCTCAAAGGTTAATCGGCTGTATATACCTTTTTATAGACGTATTGATACAGAAATAAAAAAAAAAGGTATCATACAATGCATGTACCCTGTTCCTATCCTATCCAACCTTCCCAGTCCTCAAACATAACCCCCCCCCCCCCCCCTTTTTTTTTTTTTTTTTTTTTTTTTTTCTTCCCTAGGCAACTCCAGCTCCCCCCACCGGCCCCCACTCCACTCCAGAGTACTGGAGGCTACCCACCCACCCCTCCCTGTAATCCCTAAGTCCCTCTGTCCTGTGAGAATGAACCAGATATATATACTGCTGATTAGCCTTTGAGGAGCTATATCCTTTTTGTTTGTTTTTTTCTGTAGCGTATTGGTTTTGGATGCACCTCCCCTTTTCAGGGTTAGGCACCGGCAGACATACCATTCCCAGGACTAGGCCTATGGCCATGGGTTTTTTTTTTTACATAGTGGCAGTGTTCAACCACAGACAGAACATTTACCATCACTTATTGCCCTTGCGATAAATAGCCTAAACTGTTCCAGTTTAGAGATGGCTTGTATTAAGTGTAGAAGTTATACTTTAATTTTTTTTAAAAATATCCGTTTACTTTATAAAGAAATACTTTTAAACTGAGTTGTCTTTGTTTTCCAGGTCTTTCTTTGATCACTCCATGCATAGTGCACTTCCTCTTGGGATTTACCTGGCAACCAAGTTCTGGATGTATGTCACCTGGTTCTTCTGGTTTTGGAATGATATCCTTCTACCATATATTTTCTTTGTGCAGATTGTGGTCATACCACAAGTGTTGTATGTCATTCTTTGCACTCTCGAAATTTTGTTTTGTATGGTGCCCATGTAAATGAATGCAAGTGAGAACATGTTTGAATTCCTTCAGGTATTTGCATTTTAAATGTTAGGATGTGAAATGTTTTCACACATTTGTTAGGGCAGGGGAGAATCTAAGATTGTTAGTCTTTGCCTATTTCCCAGTCACTGGTATCATTTTAAATAACAAAAATGTCTCCAGCGCGACAGTGTGGTTGTCCATTATTGGAGGGGACTTCTGTACTGGGATATTGCTTCCGGCTTTGCTGCCCTCTAAGACTGGTGGTGTCCTGATACCACAACAAGAAATGAGAAGAGGGTGCAGCAGCCTAGTGCATTATCCCAAAGCATTTAATAGAAATCATGAAAAAATATACTCACGAACATGTAGATAAAAATCGCTCATTGAGCTACTCATCTGTAGCCCAGCAGTCACAGACTCAGCACAATCCAGAATATGAGGGACCTCACCGTGGTCCCAAATGGCTGACGCATTTTGAAGGAAATCCCTTTTTTTTCGGAGCCAAATACTAAGAATTCCTTCTAAAATATACACAACTTACATGACATGAGGACCCAGAGCACCACCCCCATAGTGGAAGGGGACAATGTGAAGGGGGAGGGGACCAGCCCAAAAGATAAATGTAAAAGCATGAAGATACAGTATAACTTAAGGCAAATCTTTTTTTATGTTTGTTTGTTTGTTTGTTTTAGATAGAGTGGAGAAGGAATAGAATGCTTGTCTGTTTTTATTGCTGTCTTTTGTCCTCGTTAAGAAGATTCACTCTCTATTTGTCCTGTTTACCATTATCATTGAAAGCGAAAGTAAAAAAATCCCAAATTTGGGGTTGTCCACAGAAAAGTAATAGAGGGGAAATATTCCAATGGGGACACTAGTTCTGATGACCTGAGGGTCCCCAAAGAATTCTTTTAATTTGCATGGATTTCCTTTCACTTCCTGTTTGGCTATAGGACAGGAAGTGAAGGGGGAAATCTTTACAATGAGATACAGATGGCAAAAAAAAAAAATCTGATGGGTTATAAACTTTCCTTGCTCTATCCATAGTGAAAAAAAGTAGCCTATAGTTCTACTTTGCCAGAAATGAATATGACGTCCTCCCGGATCGCGCCTTGAGCGTGTGCACGCTGCAACAAGATCAGTCACTGGCTGTGTCCCTCGGACCCAGCCTATGACTGACCTGTGTGCTGGCCTATTGCCAGTACCATGTGAACGCTGTGACCAATCACAGCAGGTCACATGACAGTAGTTAACAATACATGGCTTCCTTTCATGCTATCCATTGTATACAATTGTGTCCTTAGCAGTGATTGGTCACAGTAATCACATGATACAGACTGGGCCAATCACAGCCTATCTGTGTCATTTGATTAGCTGTGGCCAGTCACAGCTAATCACAACAAAAACACCTGCATGAATCTGAAGCTATTTCATTCATTTAAATGCTTGCTTATAGCAATAAAATTCTTTGCTACAAGCAATCATAATTAGAGATGAGCGAATCGAACCAGGCGAACCGGAATTCGATACGAATTTCAGGAAAAATTCGATTCGCGTCGAATCCGAATATTTGCCTACTTCGGGTGCGCGAATCGGATTTTTCCCGATCAGCCGGCAAAAGTGTCCCTGCAGAGAGCTCCGCTATTTCTGACAGTTCTCTGACAGAAGGAACACATGTACAGCGGTTGAAACATTGTATCTATTAGTTTCCATTTAGGATACAGATGTTTCAACCGCTGTACATGTGAAGAAGCTGTCAGAGAACTGTCAGAAATAGAGGAACTCTGCACATACACTTTTTGCCGGTTTGGAATTCTTATTTTCATCCTACTTCTTCTTCTTCTACTTCTTCATCCTCATCCTCAGAAGAAGAAGAAGAGGATGAGAAGAAGAAGAAGTAGGATGAAAATAAGAATAATTCCAAGCGGCAAAAAGTGTATGTGCAGAGTTCCTCTATTCTGCAGATACACTTAGAGGAGCTCTGCAGATACACTTAGAGGAGCTCTGCACATACACTTTTTGCCGGCTTGGAATTAATCTTATTTTCATCCTACTTCTTCATCCTCATCCTCAGAAGAAGAGGATGAGGATGAAGAAGAAGAAGAAGTAGGATGAAAATAAGAATAATTCCAAGCCGGCAAAAAGTGTATCTGCAGAGCTCCTCTAAGTGTATCTGCAGAATGTCATTTATGGAAACAAATAGATACAATGTTTCAACCGCTGTATGTATCCATTGATCCAGGGCAGAAAAGGTTGTGGGACTGTTTATTTCTTTATTATTTATTACAGGTACTTGTATAGCGCTGTCAATTTACGCAGCACTTTACAGATATATAGTACATTTACGTCAGTCCCTAACCATCAAGGGGCGTACAATCTAAGGTCCCTAACTTACATTCATAAAGCAAAGACAAAATGTGTGGATGATCCATCGTTTACAGGAGGCAAGACAAGCCAAAGGCTATGACAATCCCTCATAAAACTCAAGCCGGATAAGGTAAAGGGCAGCATTTGTATGGGGAAGAAGAAAGTCATGACTTCGGCTTTCTAGTCAGTGGTCTTGAGATTTTATTTACTTATTACAGGTACTTGTATAGCGCCGTAAATTTACGCAGCACTTGACATATACAGGTGTACCTCGGTTTACGAACTACTCGGTTAACGTAATTTTCAGTTTACAAATGAAAATCCATTGAAAATAATGCCTCGGATTATGAATTTTTTTTCAATATTTTTTTTCGCAATGCGAAGTGTATGTCGGTGCTGATTTTTAAATGCAATTGCTGGCTTTTTTTTTTTTTGTTTCTTCACTATAGCTCACAGAATTAGCTGTCACTTTCTGTCACAAAGGATACTTTGTTTCTTTTATCTCTGGAAAAAAACTAAAAGGAAACATTGTTTCTTTTAACTCAGGGAAATAAACTAAAAGGAAACGTTCTTTGTTTTAGCTGGGGGGATAGTGACAGCTGATTATCTGAGCTATAATGAAGAAGAAAAAAAGCTGGTAATTACATTTAAAAAACCAGCACTGACCTATAGTGACAGTGACTTTTTTTTTAACTTTTGTCTGACCTCCAGAATGGATTAATTGGTTTTCAATGCATTCCTATGGAAAACTGCGTTTTCAGTTTACGAATTTATCACGATACGAACCGTCCTGGAGAACGCATTAAATTCGTAAACCGAGCTACACCTGTATATTGTACATTCACATCAATCCTTAATCCTCAAGGGGCGTACAATCTAAGGTCCTAACTGACATTCATACATACACATACTAGGGACAATTTAGACAAGACCCGATTAACCTACCAGCGTCTCTTTGGGCTGTGGGAAGAAACCGAAGTACCTGGAGGAAACCCACGCAGGGACAGGGAGAACATGCAAACTCCAGGCAGGTGGTGCACTACAAGGCATTAAACATACATTTGCATTTAAATGCATTTTTATGACTGTTGGTGTCCATTTGTCATCCATTGTGAAGCATCAGGTCCTTGGTAATTGCATTGCATTACGTTTGCATGCATTTAAATGCATTGCAATAACATGCAAACATGTTGCATTTCACCGCAACACACATTTTCACCGCATTGTGGTATGAATGAAAGACATTGAAAGCCATTGTTTCCTATGTGCCTTTGCAGTGACCTGTGTTAATCTGCGATGGGAAACCTCAAGTCGCTGCGCACTTTGTAAAAGGCCCTGAATCTCACCATCAGGGACACAGACCAGAATAAAATCTGGCAGAGATTCTACTCTATGGCCAACTTAGAAAATGTTCTGGCTGGTGTTTCCTTTTAACTTTCATTGTTTTGCTGCAATAACACGAATATGTCTAGTAAATGCCTGCTTTAGGAGACCGGATCACTTGTGTTAACTAGATGGATTGGTTGAGTATCTGCGCACTAGGAAAAGAAGCTGCCCTTTGAAATTGTCTGGAAGCAAACTGTCCTGCAAGCACACTTCATTTTTAGTTGTTGGAAATCACACCGAGTTTTCTTCCCCGCAGACGTGTTTTAGATGAGCTTTGATTGGATCATGCTGAGCACATTCATGTCTGGAGTATAGTCTGTAAAATGACAATTTGTTCCAGAAGGCAGACTAGCTTTGCCTCCTCATTTCCTCCACTCCGCTTTCCCCTGATTTCACGCTTTTTATCCTGCTGACTCATACCTTTTTGCTTGAGAGGCATTTGTGTTCTCAGATTACATCCATTTGTGTTCGGTTCAGATAAAGCATTACGGGGTTACATAGTTAAATGATGAGGTTTGTCTAGACCTGTGTTGCATACATGTTGCAATGTTGGTGAATCATACATGTCTGTCTGTATGCACCTCCTCCTATGACTCTGACTACTCGCAAGCTTGATGTCATTTATTTAAATTGTGATGCAGTCATTTTCCATTGTCTTTATCTGAAGGCGCGCAGTGGAGATGAGTGACATGTACTGGTTGATCTATAAAGCCTTTAACCGTGTTATGGAGAGCAGTGGAAAATGGAACGAATATACTTAGCTGTGACAAATGTGACTTCTTTTTGTGATTCACAGAGCTATTTTATGGTGATTTATAGCTGACAATTGTTTTCTCTGCATTCAACATGGTAGCTGTGGTTGGTCAACGAGGCACCTTTTTATTTTGCTCCAGCTGAACATAATTTTCTGTGCGTTTTGGGTTTTCTTCATAGATAAGAGGACAGTGCCTTCATGGAGATATTCTCAGCACCCTTAGTTATATAAGACCATCCCTGCTGTATCCTAAATATTACACAATTGTTTGTATGTTATTGATTTATCTATAGTAATATCTATATTACAGAACAAAATAGAAGTTGATGTGCAGTAGCAAACCAGCATAAACACTTAAGCCCCATACACACGATGAGAATATCGGACAAACAATTGTCCAG